CTCACACACACACAAACTGCACCCCTGACATGCACAGCACACACACACTGCACCCCTGACACTCACAACACACACACATACTGATCCCCTGACACTCATAGCACCCTCACTAGCACACACATACACAAACACACACACTGCACCCCTAACACTCACAGCACACACACACACTGCACCCCTGGCACACACAGCTTCCTCACACGCACATAGCACCCTCACGCAAACACAGCACCCACTCACACACTCATAGCACCCTTACCCACATAGCACCCTCACGCAAACACAGCACCCATTACTCACACACACACACACACACACACAGCACCCATCACTCACACACACACTACACCCCTCACACACACACTGCACCCCTCTTGCACACACACTACACCCCTTACACACACACACAGCACCGAAAGGGCTATAATCACTTAAGCCTCAAGCAGATTGGAAGTGTTCAAACTAATGTACTATACGAAGTACAAGAGATTCGTTACAGAGCATATCAATAGAAACAGTGCAGTGTGAGCATATCAATAGACACAGCGCAGTGTGAGCATAACTAAAGATACAGTGTGAGCGTATCAATAGACACAGCGCAGTGTGAGCGTATCAATAGACAGTGCAGTGTGAGCATATCAATAGACAAAGCGCAGTGTGAGCATATCAATAGAAAGAGTGCAGTGTGAGCATATTTATAGACACAGCGCAATGTGAGCATATTGATAGACACAGCACTGTGTGAACATATCAATATACACAACGCAGTGTGAGCATATCAATAGACAGCGCAGTGTGAGCATATCGATAGACACAGCGCAGTGTGAGCATAACGATAGACACAGCGCAGTGTGAGCATATTGATAGACACAGCACAGCGTGAGCATATCGATAGACACAGCGCAGTGTGAGCATATCGATAGACACAGCGCAGTGTGAGCGTATCAATAGACAAAGCACAGTGTGAACATATCAATAAACAAAGTGCAGTGTGATCATATTGATAGACACAGCGCAGTGTGAGCGTATCGATAGACACAGCGCAGTGTGAGCAGCGTATCAATTAAAGTGCAGTGTGAGCATATCGATATACACAGCACAGTGTGAGCCTAACGATAGACACAGCGCAGTGTGAGCATATCGATATACACAGCACAGTGTGAGCCTAACGATAGACACAGCGCAGTGTGAGCATATCAATAGACACAGCGCAGTGTGAGCGTATCGATAGACACAGCACAGTGTGAGCGTATCAAGAGACAGCGCAGTGTGAGCATATCGATAGACAAAGCACAGTGTGAACATATCAATAAACAAAGTGCAGTGTGAGCATATCAATAGACAGCGCAGTGTGAGCATATCGATAGACACAGCGTAGTGTGAGCATATCGATAGACACAGCGCAGTGTGAGCATAACGATAGACACAGCGCAGTGTGAGCATATTGATAGACACAGCACAGCGTGAGCATATCGATAGACACAGCGCAGTGTGAGCATATCGATAGACACAGCGCAGTGTGAGCGTATCAATAGACACAGCGCAGTGTGAGCGTATCAATAGACACAGCACAGTGTGAACATATCAATAAACAAAGTGCAGTGTGAGCGTATCAATAGACAGCGCAGTGTGATCATATTGATAGACACAGCGCAGTGTGAGTGTATCGATAGACACAGCGCAGTGTGAGCAGCGTATCAATTAAAGTGCAGTGTGAGCATATCGATATACACAGCGCAGTGTGAGCCTAACGATAGACACAGCGCAGTGTGAGCATATCGATATACACAGCACAGTGTGAGCCTAACGATAGACACAGCGCAGTGTGAGCATATTGATAGACACAGCGCAGTGTGAGCATATCAATAGACACAGCGCAGTGTGAGCATATCGATAGACACAGCACAGTGTGAGCGTATCAAGAGACAGTGCAGTGTGAGCATATCGATAGACAAAGCACAGTGTGAACATATCAATAAACAAAGTGCAGTGTGAGCATATCAATAGACAGCGCAGTGTGAACATATTGATAGACACAGCGCAGCGTGAGCATATCGATAGACACAGCGCAGTGTGAGCGTATCAAGAGACACAGCGCAGTGTGAGCATATCGATAGACACAGCGCAGTGTGAGCATATCGATAGACACAGCGCAGTGTGAGCATATCAATAGACACAGCGCAGTGTGAGCATATCGATAGACACAGCGCAGTGTGAGCGTATCAAGAGACAGCGCAGTGTGAGCATATCGATAGACAAAGCACAGTGTGAACATATCAATAAACAAAGTGCAGTGTGAGCATATCAATAGACAGCGCAGTGTGAGCATATCGATAGACACAGCGCAGTGTGAGCGTATCAATAGACAGCACAGTGTGAGCATATTGATAGACACAGCGCAGTGTGAGCATATCGATAGACACAGCGCAGTGTGAGCGTATCAATAGACAGCGCAGTGTGAGCATATTGATAGACACAGCGCAGTGTGAGCATATCGATAGACACAGCGCAGTGTGAGCGTATCAAGAGACACAGCGCAGTGTGAGCATATCGATAGACACAGCGCAGTGTGAGCGTATCGATAGACACAGCGCAGTGTGAGTATCAATAGACTCAGCGCAGTGCTAGCATATCGATAGATACAGTGTGAGCGTATGAATAGACACAGTGTGAGCGTATCAATAGACACAGCGCAGTGTGAGTATCAATAGACTCAGCGCAGTGCTAGCATATCGATAGATACAGTGTGAGCGTATCAATAGATACAGTGTGAGCGTATCAATAGACACAGTGTGAGCATATCAATAGACACAGCCAGGGCCGTATTAACATAGGGGCTGATGGAGCTGCAACTCCAGGCCCATGCCCATGGAATAGGCCCATTGATTTAAAAATATATATATTTTTTTATTTTATTTATTTATTTATTTTTTTTACACACTACTCTTCACAGTGAGAAGCACGCAAGCGCCTCTAGCGGCTGTCAATGAGACAGCCACTAGAGGCTGGATTAACCCTATTATAAACATAGCAGTTTCTCTGAAACTGCTATCTTTATTAAAAAAAAGGGTTAACCCTCGCTGGACCTGGCACCCTGACCACTTCATTAAGCTGAAGTGGTCTGGGTGCCTATAGTGGTCCTTTAACCCTTAATAGGGAACACATGGGATGGGCGGCTGCATTGTAACAAGGCTGAGTGATACAAAAAATGGATACAAATGCGCTCACTCCCATCACTGGGCAGCAGCAATGACTACAGTACACATCAGCCCCAATATATAGTAAAAACCAACACAAAACAAGTTACCTGCGCTTTTTCCATTTTTTGTATCACTCAGCCTTGTTACAATGCAGCCGCCAACTCTGTGACCGCATGTTCTGCCATTATTACCAAGCTCTCAATTTGGGAAATATTGTTCAGCGTTTAGCCAGGAAGATTCTGCATTCTCATGTTCAGTCATGGAATCTAATCTTAAAGTCATTTGTGAATGACGTAGAGGTAAACGTATACATGTTATTAAAAAAGGGAACAGCTAGTTCAAGCAGTGTTCTGCAAATAAAGGAAATAATGTCCTAGTCACGCTATTCATTGAGTTTTGTTGATGGATGGGAGATTTGGCTCTCTTCCTTCTGATCTCCTCCAAGGTGACTCTAAGAACAGTGAGTGATTCACGGCTGCTAGTACAGTACACATGCTCCCTTATAGTATACTGGGGTCATTTAGTTGCCCCACTGTTCCATTGTCAGGGCTTACTTTGCTCAAGGTTTCCCTAACTATTATTAAAGTTGTGACTTGCATACATTGTGAAGCGTCCATGCATCCACACCGGATCCTGCAGAAAGTCTGGTAAATGATCAATACCTGGCTTTGTCATCGAGATGGAAGACTATGTTACACTGTCCTGTATACACAATACTTCTGAGGATTATTGCTTCTTTGATATCTATCGGTGGCTTGTAGATTACTCAAATATCTGTGTCCACAACAACCAACCTGTGGATGCTCACACCGTTAACATTGTGCGCTACTGTCTGAGGCTGCAAGCGAGACTTGCGACAGTTACTCAAGGGATCAATCCTTACAAAAGGACAGTTAAGCCACTTTAGGCACCATGACAACGTCATCTAAAAAAAGTGGTTATGGTGCCAGGAGGCCCCAAGTGCATTCTTACTTCAAGGGGTTAAACCATTCTCGAACAGGTTAATCACAAAGTAAGCATCCAGCGCCAATCTCCATTCACCTGGCTTCTGAAATTTTACTTTCTGGATATGTGGAGTGCAATGGACAGGTGCGCCGCCGCTAGGCGGAGAGCAGTCAGGTGATGCCCTTAGCCAATCAGTGACTCCCAATTTACAAAACTAGCTTGGAAAAGGTACGTTTGTTTTCACGCCAGTTTTGTAAATCAGGAGTTCCCCCTGCCCAGCAGCATTCTGTGTTTCCTGAATGCCAGTTGGGGGAGTGGAGACCAGCACTAGTGGCAACTTTGGGTTTAAACCGTTCAAGAATTATTTTTTTCCCTTTTTGTTTCAGTGTTAAATTTTATTGGTGCTTGAACAAAGTAATGTAGTGTAAATAGATACTGAATATAACAATATTTCTTTACATCAAGGTCACAATAATGTATACACTGCTATTCCATCAAGAAATCGACTTTACTTGTGGGCACCATTCTTCTTGTAATGAAAAAGGGAACATGGGGTAAGGAGAGGAAGAGGAGGTGAGAGAGCTTGTGCTCAGACAAACCAAATATTTGAAATGTGATTTTGTGAGGAAGGAAAAGCGAGAAGTGCATGGAGTAATGTGAAACGCAGCTGAGGGGAACCATGAAGGGCGTCTATAACCATTTATTACCCTTGATATAGTGCATGGGTTAATGTGGAACGCTGTGGAGGGGAACCATAAGGGCGTCTATAACCATTTATTATCCTTGATATAGTGCATGGGTGTGGCAAACCTAGCCACTTACAGTATGTCCTTGTATATATCTTGCTATTACTGCATTGCTATTCCTATCTGTGGCCAAACCAGCCACTTAAAGTGTAACCCCCCCTGAATGTAATATGATGTAAAGTGTATCCCTGTGTACTGTTTGGTATCTCCTAAGGCGGGAGATGGCTATCTGTACCCCAACCCCCTCCTGCCTGGGACTAAGGGAAGTGTATTGTGTGGAATGCAGACCCCCCTGCGGAGGTCTGTGCTAAAAGGAAGATGTAATCACTAAAGAGTTTGACTCAGCCTGGTGAGATGCCAGTGTTTTAACCTCCAAGCTATGTGTCGTCTAGTTCTTAGGAGAAAAGGATTGTAACTACGCTACCTGCATTTTACCTGCTTCATCCTGCCTACCAGCGGAGATACCGTGGATAATACCACTACTCCGCTACAATTGGTGGCAAGCGACGGGATTCAAACCACACAGCAAAGCAGCGTTCGGCAGGGATTGATGTGAGCAGAGGAAAAGAAACAGCAATTCGTGAAACAACCATTCGGATGAAACCGGAGTTCGGGAATAAGTGGAATCACACGAACAGCAGGTGAATGGAAACGAATTATGCACTTTTGAAACGGAGTACACTGAAGGAATTACTAGAGGCAAGGGGAACAATAGCCAGCAACAAGACAAAGGCTACCCTTATTGCTGAGCTCATGGAAGGAGACAGAGCAGCGGCTGCTGCAGCACCTCCAATGGAGGAAGAGCAAACAGAATTTCAGAAAGAGTTCAGGAGCAGGATGGCACTGTACCCAACCACACCACCCCAAGAGACTTTCGATAGGATCATGGCAGATGTGCAAGAATACATCATGGCCAAACGATTCCAACCAAACCAGCAATCCAGAGAGGGGTCACCGGCTCCACCCAGCATTGTACAGGGAAAACCCAAAATTCCCTACCAAGCCTTTAAAAACTTTACGGACACAGAGGGCGATATTGATGGATATTTGCAGGACTTTGAAAGACTGTGCCAGCTGCATGATATTGGGCCCCAAGACCAGGTACCACTGCTGGCCGGTAGATTATCTGGCCGCGCAGCAGAAGCCTACCGGGCAGTGCCTGATGAGGACAGCAGAGACTACCAGAAGGTAAAGCAGGCCATCCTAGTCCGGTATGCCATTACCCCCGAGGCATACCGACTCCAATTCCGGGACCTGAAAAAACAAGAAAAGGACTCCCACGCAGAGTTTGCGCACCGCTTACACCGAGCAGCCACGGGGTGGATTGATGCGGCGCAAGCAACTACCCGGGAAGATCTCATTCAATTACTTTTGTTGGAACAGTTCTACCGGAGACTAACTACTGATATGCAGAACTGGGTAAGAGATCGTAAACCACGCACCTTACAAGACGCGGCCAAATTAGCGGACGAACATCAAGACACCAGACGAGAGCAGCGCCCACCAACCAGGGTATTCCCCCAGTCGACAAACCACAGGCCTGCCTTGGCCGAAACAGCTCACCCACGATCTGGGGGAGCTAACAACCAATACCAACCTAGGTACCCCAACCGGGCACACATCAGATGCCACACCTGCAACCAACTGGGGCATGTACAACGAGAATGCCCCCGAAACAGGGCACGACCATCATGGCCCAACCAAGGCCAACCTCCTGGCACTCGGGCTGCGGTACACTGCTATCAGAATGAATCATTCATCCAGCCCTCCACAGCCACCCAGGTGGAGGAACCTCTAGGCACTCTCCATGAAGTTAACCCCGTCCAAGCGGCGTCCGATAACCGCCAAAGCCATCGCCAAGTCGTCCACATAGAAGGGAAGCCTATGGAGGGACTGAGAGATTCCGGGGCCACCATCACCTTGGTCCGAAACCACCTTGTCCCAAAGAACCAGCTTACGGGGGATTGTGTAGCAGTACGGGTGGCAGGGGGAGCGATCTACAAGGTTCCCACTGCCAAGATACATTTGAATTGGGGAGCGGGGTCAGGGAACGTGGAGGTGGGGATGATGCAAGACTTGCCCGCAGATGTTATTTTGGGAAATGACTTGGGGGAGCTCACTTCCGCTTTTGTTCCGCGAACCACCGTACAGGAAGCTTACCCAGTCATCACCAGGCTGCAGGCCCGCACCACGGTCCCATCCAGTGACTCTGAGGCTCAGGTAAGCAATGAACCCCATAACCACACTGCCCTCCCCTGGGATGCCCCCCTAGAATTTGGTAGCGAGGTCGCTCTAGACCCGTCCCTGCAGGTTTACAAAGACCGAATTGACAAGAACCAGGCAGGCTTAGAAGGAGAGAGATATGCTTGGGATCAAGGGTTATT